TACCAACAGACACATGATTTTCCTAACAATCTCAAAATCACTGTTCCTATTCACCATGTACATGCCATATTCAAGGGTCAAGTTGAATACAGATATGGAGTACCAAAAGAATGCCAATCAGATACTACATACCCAAAATATATTGCAGTATCTGCGTTTTAGGGTGACAGAGCATGATAAAGAAACAATACTATTGAACATAACAAACATACCTCTTCAGACCAAGAATGTTGACGAGAGAATCAAAACCAAATAGTTCCAAATTGGATTCTTTCTGGGGGCCCTTGGCTTGCACATGAGTAGAAGGCCCTTCATTTATGTTAGAACCCATGTTTTCTTGTGTGCTCACTTTTATTTTCCTGTCCACCAATAAGCATGTACAAAGATTACGAGCAAGAATAAATAATATTATATTCTAGTACACATGTTGCTTGATCTTCTTTACATGCAATGAAGAGAAATCAGCCTTTCAACGTATAGGCACAAAAAACCAAACTTACCTGAAAATGAATATTAGTTTACAAGTATCTTTATAGCTATCAGAAACATTTTGACAAGGGAAACTCGGATTTTTTGTCTCAAGGAATTATTGCAACACCTCATAAATAAGATATCTTTAGATTTTCATGGATTTTGATGCTATGCCAAACCATAGATTGGGATACCCATGAATAATAAAAAGATGTATAAGTGAAGAATGCAAGAATTAGATTACATTCAACTCAAAAATCCCAACCAAAATGATTGCAGTTAAAGGAATATCCTGAAATGCTTGGATATAGATGACCAAAATGTTAGGAATTTCCTCGTCAAAGTAAGTGTCCTATTTTGTTTAGGATTGTATTAGGAAAGAATCAAGTTTCCTTGTAAAATTAGATTGGGAATCCTAGAAACATAATTGGCAAAGGAAAGAAAGTGTACTTTCCTATTTTATATAGAATAAGAAAGAAAGTGTACTTTCCTATTTTATATAGAATAAGAAAGAAAGTGTACTTTCTTACTCCATACAAAATAGAGATAATTTACTTTCCATTTCCATATAGAATAGGAAACTTAATAAAAAATAGGCATGTAAACCACAGCCTATACTTATAAATAGGGTGCGGCAAGGCTAGTAAAAGAAGAGAAAGCCAGAGACAGCCGAGAGGAAAAGAGAGGGATTAATTCTAAGGTTTGCAAAAGTACTGTAACTCTATTATTAATCAAAGAAGTCGTTTCTCTACCTAGAGAAATCACAACAGGACGTAGGCAAAAGTGTTGCCGAACCAATATAAATCTTGTGTGTTTCTAGTTATTCTCTATTTTGCTAAGTTTAGTTTGTTGCTAGATACATCAAAAGAACAAGATCTAGAGGAGAGTCAGAATTATAAAACACACACAAAAAAAAAATATCAAACTCTATTATAGTCCAAAACGCACCCCAATTCCACCACCGTAACCTCAAACTACCTCTTATGTCATTCCAACCAAACAATCCACATAGAAACCAATACCCCACAATGCCAAATGATAATCACATTACGTTGGCCCCAGTATGCAATTCATCTTCACCAGCAAGGAACAACATTTTCTAAGCTCAACCTAAACCACCCCCAACAGTTTCATCAGCCTAACCCAAATTTGTGCTGTAACAGGATCAGCACTCTCCTACTTGGGCAGAGCCTTATGTTAGGATTCAGAATCCAAACATTTTATGATTTCCCATTTTTTGAATTCAATATCTCGGTCCACTTAACAAACAACATTCTGGCAAAGGCACTCGTGGGTTTAACTCATTTTCGATTTCCAACAAGAATTCGTCATACACAAAGCAGCTAGAAGCATCAAATTGCACTTGTGGGTTTAACTCATTTTCGAATTCCAACAAGAATTAACAATACACAAAGCTTAAAGCATCAATTTGCACTTGTGGGTTTAACTCATTTTCGACTTCCGACAAGAATTAACAATACACAAAGCTCAAAGCATCAACTTGCACTTCTGGGTTTAACCCATGTTCGATTTCGGACAAGAATTCACCATACACAAAGCTTAAATCATCAAGTGAACTTGTGGGTTTAACTCATCTTCGACAATTAACCCATTAAACCAAAAGCATACCGCATCAAAATTCATTCTTAAACCACCATTCAAATCCCTAAGTCTCAGATACAGAAAACACACATACTTGAGGGAAGCCTGGTGAACCGGGAGAGAAGACGACGAAGAAGAGGAGGAGGAAGGATCCATGGGCGACATCTCGAGCACGGCCCGATCGTTGTCGACGACGGGGCGGTACTTGCGACCCCTCTGGCCACGGAACTCGTCTTCCGCACCGGCTTCGACGTCGACATTGTCCATTTCCTATCCCCTGTTTGGATCGATCCGATACAAAGCTACTCCTATAGAAAGTGGATTTAGATCTGTGCGAGAAAGAGATAGAAAGAAAGGATTTTTATATAATATTTGTGGAAAATTAAGAAACGATGATATTATTGGATGTTGATTGTTCAAAGAAACGCAGAGAAAAAGACAGAGGCGGCTTTGAATTGAAGAAACCTGGAGGCGAAATCAAATGAGAAAAATAGGAGAAAAGAAATTGAGAAATGACGACGTCAAATTTTGGAACCACGGTTTTGCTTCTGTTAATATTGGCTCTCGGTCCTGAGTTCCTCCTCAATTCATTACACAGTCACTCTATGGTGGATGAAAACAAAATTAAAATTACCAGAAATTTTAAAATTAAAATTAAAATGACGGAATTTTATTTTTATGAATTTGTGAATTTTCTGGTTTGATTAATCTAAAAGAACAATGAAATTAAATACGAAATTTTTTTTTTTTAAACTTTCCATAATAGACATTGAAAAGTGACATATATATACCTAGAATTTAAACTTGAAAATCAGAGGTCTCAAATTCCAAGTTTTTTTACACGCTGAAATTCTAAATTTATATGTTTATGAATCCAAACAAGGAATTGCTGCATGTTAATTTATAAATTTTGACTTCTATTCAAGGGCCATTTTGGTTCCGATCCCTTATTAACCTAATTGTTAGATTAAAGCCTTATTTGTTTAAATATTTTGATCTAGGTTCTTAGTATCATTTAAGATATTTAACTCATGTATTTATGCATTTAATGTCTCTCAAATTATGAAATTTAACCAAATTCAAATAATATTATCAAAATATAGTAAATACTTAAAAATCAATAATAGAGTAATATTGTTTTTCACAAAATTATAGCAAAAAATTAATGTACCCACATAATTATTAACATATTTTAAAAAATAAATACCGATATATATTTTAAAACATAAAATAAATACATATAATTAGCATGGGTACATTTAGCAAAATTAAAAATGTGTACAAATAAATTTTAAAAATATGGGTACAAATACAAATAAAAGTTTAAAATATATGGGCACAAAAAGAAATTAATATATGGGTACAAATTAAAGCTGAAAATAAAATTGGTACAAATTTAAAAAAAAAAAGTTGCAAATCGAAAATGGGTACAAACTAAAAATAAAAATATATAATAAAAAATTTAGCCATAAATATAAATATATTAAATGTAATGTTTCTAACACTAAATTAATGTATTTAGTAATAAAAAATATTTTATTATTGAAATAATTAATAGTGTTTATTAAAACCTAAGGTCCTTAATCAAAAATTGAAAAAGAATAAGGTTTTAATCAATGGAGTAGCAAAAAGATGGATGGAAACCTAATTTTTCCTTTATTCAAATTCCAAGTTTATTTCATACTTATAATCAGAACTGTTATAAAACGCTTTGTAAAAATTATCTATACAAAAAATTAATAAAATATGAGATTGTTTAGTCATCGAACTGTATAAAAACAAACAGACGAATTCGGAAAAAACATTAAAAACCGTCTATTTATTTGCTACAATTGATTTATAAAACAACCTTAACTTTAATTGACTTTTGTAAGAAATGATATTTACAAAGAAATCTATAACATGTACGATTCTGAAATACGAAGTTTTATGAATCGGCCATTAGTGAATTAAGCATTGCTCACTATGGTTCTCTCGTTTTATAACAAAATTTGATACAGTAGTTATAACGTATAAAATTTGTTGATCTTATGCAGGTAGTGTATTGCGCTCGTGGATATGATCTTTGACTACAACTCAGTGCATCTTGGATTTAAATTCTCTCCTCTAGTCTAGCTTAAAATAGTAATTTTGAGAGTAAAAAAATGTTACATAAAAACTTTTCTATTTAATTCACTGTGTCCCAAATTCAAAACTAAAGTCGTCTCGTCCCTGCAGTATTGAAGAGTACACACAAAAATTATAAGACAACAAGCTTAATAAAAAAAAAAAATCTTACAATTCAATGAGTTCTCATAAATTAGCTTTGATGGTGAGTTTTGAAGGTACTATGTAAAGGAGGAAAGACATGTTATTAAAAATATAAATAGTTTCGATACAACATTTCTACAATGAAAATATGTCTTCGTCATGGCCCAATAACCTTGTGACCCGACTTTGGAAGTTGACATCCATTTATTCTTCAACGAACGTAAAATCCAGAGAATTTTTCACGTCAATTTCAAACCAAATTCAATCCTCGACACCAAACCAAACCTTCAACGTACATTGAATCCAGTGAATATTAATCAATTCCTATCAATATTCGTCTTAAACAAATACATCTAAAATGTTAATATTAATCAATTCCTATCAATATTCGTCTTAAACAAATACATCTAAAAGGTTAAAGATTGTTGCATTTCTCCTGCATGAGTAGGATAATAAAATCCAGAGCCTCATTTTTCATCGTTGCTCGCGCATCGCGCATCTGCGCTAGCAGGATGCGTTCACCGGGAGAGCTGCGACGATGGTTTGTTCCATCTCGAGGCTCTCCCCCCACTTCCTCTAATCCGCGGGAGGTCAAATTTAGGTCGCTGAATTATTTTAGTGTAACTTTGACCTCCCGCGACTAACAAGAATGCAGAATGACTTGCAACAAAAAAACATTGATTGATAAAGATCATTTGAATTTCTCATGAACTTTGTTGAGAACCAAATTACAAGGTAACTTCGTTTGTCCATCGCCACTACACATAATTACGGCAGAATATCATACAGCAAAAGACTAAACAGGTGTATTAGCACAAAGAAGCAAACGTTGGAACTTACTTTCTGAACCGAAATCGAAGAAATATCCAGCTAAACACAGGAAAAACTTCAAAACTATTCATCTTTAACAGAGTCTTTCTTATGCTTTCCATGCCTCTCCTTTAGCTTCTCGACTTTCTCAATCGCGTTGTGTTGATTGGTGACGGATCCCTCTTGAGCACTGCACATCTGGGACTTAATCTTGAACCCGAATTTCTTTGATACGTTTCCCCACGTGCTAGACCCTTTTACGCGACCCAACTTCTCGATCTCTTGTCTCATGTTCGAACACTCCTTCTCAAGCTCGGATACCCGCATCCTCATGTTGTCCATCCCAACCTTTAAAACCTGATTCTCCCTCACGGTAGTGGCCCAGCCTCCCTCGTTAGACATAGCAAACCCGCTTCTTAACTGTCTTGATCCATCAAGATTTTCTGATACCAGGAAGCAGTCGGCAATTGACGACCTAAGCTGAAGCTGCTCGAAGAAGAGAACTTGAACAACTATTCTCAAGGGTAGCCTCTCATTCTGTGCAGCATGAGTGCAAGCTTCCAAGGAAAGCTTCTGGCAGTCCATCAACCGGCAAAGCTGTTCCCTTTCGGACTCTACCAACCATGGGTGCGACTGCAGGTTGTAAACCATAGAAAACAATAAGCCCAAAAAGTTACAGGAGTGTCCAATACTAAATTCATTTTATAGATTGTAACTCTAGAAACATTGAGGTTGAGAGAATATTTCTAGGTGGATGCGGTGTGGTTGATCAATTCAATGATCAATCTTATAAAGGAAAAATGAATTATATTGAACAATTGATCGATGCCTATTACCTTCAAATAAATATCCATGGCACGGTAAAGACCATCATCCAAGGGTCTGGCATATTCTGGAACAGCAGCAGCAAGAGCCTGAAACTTGGGGAGCTTCAAGTTGACATCAGGGGCAACCTCTGCAAGGTATCCATCGATAAGCTTGGCTACCATTGTGATTGGGGTCAGTGAAGGGCCTGAAGACCCGATCAATTGTTCATCATCGACCGAACATGGAGACACTCCTCCTGTTTGTTCCATGGCAATGAAGTGGTCAAGAATTCGTTGCACACAGTCAACATTGTACAGAGTCTCCATAGAATAAGAGAAGTTGGGCATCAAAAGATCTTCCAAAGTAGCTTGATCAAGCTGCATGCCAATTCTTTTCTCAAAATTTGATATGCAGGAAGGGTTGGCTCGAAGAATCATGGCTGTTCGAAGTAGACCAAACAAAAATTTGGTTGGGACTACACGCTTCTGAAATGGAAGTAACCGATCAACCTCTTCAAGTAAGAGCTTCTGGTCTTCTTCTGATGGTGGGGACCCCAAGGACACTGGTTTAAGATGAGTACTAGAATCATTGCCTTGACGCCGATTCAGCCCAGGAAGGTACTTTTTTGCATAATAAGTGATTGAGGCTGCAATGATCTCCTGTTTGATGCCACGAGATTCCATGACCGAAATCAGCCTCTGGTAGAGAGGCAAGCTTAAGGTTGATGCATCCTCATACCACCAATCTGAACTTGACTTCTTTGGTCTAGCCCCTGTACTTATCCCATTCCACAGGACACTCCCACCAGGACTTTGCATGGGGCCACCATGCTCCCTGACAGGCCACCCAAACAAATTAGGATCAGTAGATGCTTTTGTGGCTAGTGACTCGATGCACCTTTTGGTAATGTTGAGTTCTTCAGCATAAGGGAGAATATCATCACAAGTCTGAAGCGCCTTTAGAGAGTCTTTCCAATTTCGAAGGACTACTTGACTGAGAAAGGCTTCAGTTTGTGTGATTAAGTTGTCCTCCCCGTAGTCTTCAGTCATTTCAAGATGCTCAGCAGCACATCGAAGGTAGACAACATTTGAGGCAGAAAGCTCAAATTTCACCCCGTAGCAGAACTTGGCTACCAATTCAAATGTTTTTGCCCCACCAGGAATATCAGGGACGGTTATGACACATCCTTCTTCTCCTTCAGATGCTTCAGAAATCAATCTTTCCATAACCCCACTTCTTGAGAGCAAAGGAAACTGCACCAAATGGCAATTCAAAGGTGAGAGTAGCATTCAAATGTGAAATCAGGCATGCATTATGCATACGGGGTTGACACCAAATTATGATTAACGACTCAAAAGAAGAGTCAGAGAACCTGATAAAAGAAGTCAAAAGTCATTCTCCAGAACAGGTACGTAACGAATTGTCCCAAGTTACAAGAACAGTAAATCAAGTGATAGTTATACCTACCAAAAGGAGGTAAAAGTAAACAGGGAACCGGGAAGCTAACCTTATGAAGATGGAATGACATCTCTCCAACCTCAACAACAATGTCACTAGGAAGCCCAGTGGTGCAGAACCTATATCGTTGCAAGACATATATAATGTCAGTCAACAAATAAGAAAGTATTGGGAACTAATTTACTCAAGAAGAATTGATTCAGTGTCTGTAGTCATAACATATAATCAGCTAATCAATCATGAAGCACAGACACATAATCCAAAAGGGTAATCGCTACATGGCTTTCGTTTCACAACATGCATACAATTTGTTATATATACTCATTACCTAGTAGAAACAAAAATCAGTCCAACATCGTTTCATATTGTTAATCACAAATATGAGGTTCAAAAACAGAAAAAGATTGCTAGCACAACGCAATGTACAAAGAGAATGCAATCACCCACGTACTACACAGGAACACGCAACAAGTAGATCCTAAAACCCAAAGAGCATATCCAGAATATGGATGGTAAAGGAAGAAGAAACGTCTTCTGTCTTCCAAATTAAGTCATTCTTCAGACTCCCAAACAACTGTGATACAGCAAGAACTCATCAATGATTAACAAGCAGCGGACATGTTTGTATCAACCGCCTTTCTTTTAAGCATTCTTCAAACTACGAAATCCCAAAACACCAATGGAATAATAATCGTTTGAAGGTAACAACTCTAAATATGATGTGCCTAAACTGAATCCCAACTTGCAGGCAACATATCAAATTTTACTTTCCATACAAATTCAAGTTTGCAAACTGAATATAAATGATGTAAAAGTAAACAATTTTAATTGTGACACAAATTCAGAACAATTCAGAGCATGTATACATATACATACATATATATATACACACACACATTCGGTCATAAAGAGTATCAAACTAAAGATGTCAGGGTGCATACCAGGCCTGTCCTTGTCTATGGAATGCATCAGTTTTAGATCCCAATTTCACGCAAGCCATTTTTTCTCCCAGTGAAAGCAGTACAGAAGAACTTCAAGAACAACTTCCCAACAGAGACAAGCTAATCAAGTCTGCAGAAACAAATCCCTCAAGGCAAAATGCACTAGTAACTGCCCAAATCAGGGCAGTTTTACAAGCAAAAGCGGATACCCAATAAGCACTTTCCCTCAAAAACCACTGTAAAAGCCCAAATCAGCCAGAAAAATCCCTGAAAAAAAGCCGAAAGCAGAAACCCAACAGCACCACAATGCAGCTTTCTTTGCAGAACCCCACTAAATTTTCTGGAAAAAACTGACCCAAAAAACCAGCAGATATAACAGAAGAAAATGAATTCCTTTACAAACCCAGTTCTGAATCCAAGAAAATTCCTCCAAAACAACTCCACTACAAATACCCACCTCCAAAAATCCCCAAACCTGACCCCAAAAACCCCACAAAAAATTAAAAATTAAATAAAAACTCAAACTTTCTAATTCAGACAGAGAATTTAGGTAAACCCCTCCAAACTGGTGCCCCAGAAACCCCCAAAACGAGATGCTTAAATAATTTAACTTAAAAGAAATTTCCAAATATTGAAACCCCTCAAGACACAAGAGACCAAAACCACTGACACCTTATTAAAGTAAAAGGAAAAGGAGTCCTCCTAATGCCTGCCAATGCAAAACCGCAAGACCCATTTGCCCAAAAGACAGCCAGGCGCCTGGAAACCCTAACGTGTCAGGGCCTTGTTATTAATGGCAGCACAGCAGCTCCCTCTCTCCCTCTGGCTCCGAAGGTAGGAAGGCCTTCTCTCCTCTCACTCATACATGTGGGGTCCTCTGGCTTGCGGCACACTCATTGCACTTTAAGAACTTGGTTTAGGAGATGAGAATGTTTACCCCAACATAATGATTTGGTTTTGAAGTGGGTGCAAATTTCCGCTTTTGGTCTTTCAAGTTTCAATTTTCGCGATTAGTCTTTTCCTTTTCTAATGTAAGAGGAAAAATGCTAAACATATTTTTTAAGGTGAAATTCTCTCCAAATCTTCCGTCATTTTATGTTTTTGATATAACGTTTTATAATTAATACTAACAATTGAAAATAGATATTCTCCGGATATCTTCCATCAAGATTACCGGATCAAGTAATCAGGGCTCTTAAAATTTGATTCAACGGCTAAAGTTATTATAACTTTTAAAGGCCCCTATTTTTAGCTATTTGATCAAATTTCAAGGGTTTGGATCACTTGATCCGGTAGCCTTGGTGAAAGAGATTCAGAGATGATTTCTTTCTCTAACAATTGGGCCAATAGATATTTTTTCTCCCCCCACCCTGAAAAAATAGGAGGTGACTCTCACTTTTGAGAGAGGTGTTATTCACACCTTTTTTTTTTTTTTTTTAAATGACAACTGGTGGCAAGTCACGGTTATCCATCCCTCTGGGGGCTGGAAAAACTCACAGAGGCATTTTAACCTTCTCTTGCCACAAGTCTAGCTTCCACACCAACAGTGGGTTTCGAACCCGAGACCTCTAGTTTTTAGTTTTTAAGAAACCTCGTAATTCACACACTTATTTTTATCTCGCACATTTTATTTTTCATTTTTTACGCGTTGGATCAAATAAATTAAAAAATATCAATGGACAAAATTCACAAAAAGTGCGTAGGAGATTTAAAAAAAAAAGGTTTATGAAAAGCACTACCCTAAAAATAATGCTTCATCAACAAATACAAAATAACGCTTGTGTGACATATGTGAAGGTAAATTAGTTTATTTTTTATATAACGACACAAATAACGCTTTTGTGACATATGTGAGCGAAAATTAGTTTATTCTTCATACAACGATATATTTTTACATTAAGGGCGAGAAAACAAATTATTATTAGACTCATCATTTATGAAGTTTAAATCTAAGACCTCTTGTCAGTTGTCAGTAATAAATATATATTTTAGGAGGTGGAAAATAAAATAAAACAACCACAACGCTCAATCAAGGCATTACTTTGAATTATGACGATTATAAATCCTAAAATTGAAACTATAAGAACTAAAATAAAATGAGAAATGCTAAAGAGACACTCTAAAAGTAAGATTTTTACATATTCTTTGTTACTTCACAGTTTAATGTAGGGGTGTGATATCCACACATCCCTTTTTACTTATTCCACACCTTTTTGGTTTTCGGCCGTTGGATCTGATGAATTTAAGAAGATCAACGGACAGAAATTAACAAGGATGTGTGAGAAGTAAAAAGAGATGTGTAGATAGCACACCCCTTTTATGTAATTTTCGTGTCAATATTATAAAATGTCGCTTGGATTGATAAAACTTTTCATTTGTCAAATAAAACAAAGCTTTGATTGATAAGACTTTTGTCTTTTATCTCACTATAAGTTTCAAGTTAAATTATTCTCCTTTCTTCGTGTAGTTTGGTCTGCATATAATACTAATATCGATTTTAATAAGAAAAAATCAAAACTTGAACTAATCTATGGACGCTAAAATCATAATTCTAAAAAAAAAAAAAAAAAAAACATAGAGTACACAACAAGTAAAGGGAAACTGCAATTTGACCAGGAAAAGGATAATGTTGTCTAATTATTAACCATAATTCTTTAGCTTTTCTTGTTCTTCTAGTTTAATGATCCAACACGATCCTCTTCGATAGTTTTGTGAGAGTTACGGAGATTCATGAATTGTGTTCATTTATCGTATATCGTACGATCAGTATTTGTCAACTACTGTTTGTATTCAATTTTAAATAAAAAACTAATTTATAATCGTACGATGTATAACAAACGAACTCGATTTAAGAATTTCCGATATCTTCACATCCGGATTCTTTAAAGACAAAGAATAGAAGCAACATCTATATGTTTCATCCAGCAAGGCCATGTGGGTGCGTTGCTAACGCCCATATGAAAATTAATTAATTATTCAGACCAAAAGAAGAATAATGATTAAATATAGTACGTGGACATTTTAAGTGAGATTTTGATTGATTTTGGGGAATAAAATTAAAAACAAGAAATTGATAGGGTTGATTGGAAAGATAGTCAATTTATTGTCCCATGCATAGCAAATGCAATAATTTGGAATTGGGACCGATTCATTCCCCCCCACCCAACCTCTTCCCGCTGTATTGACGGAGAAATAGGGGTCAATGTGGATTTTTAAAGGTTTTTTGTTTTTTTTTAACAAACGATATATTAACGCTAATGGATGATTGAGGTTAAGCTATATAATGAGTAAGTCTTTGTGATTATTCTCCTCAAAGTTTCTTTTCATGATAGCAATGCTGGAGTGGGACAGACTTTGCGATCAAATTTTTTTTTTTTTTTTAAAAGTAAGTTTTTGTGACTTGACATTGAACTTATTATTTACTATAATTGAATTTAAAACTTTTTACCTATAAATATTAAGTTGCTAGACCGTAATACTAAAATGATAAATAAAAGAAACGAAGATGAAGATAAATTAACATTGATAAAGTACAAAAATCAATTTTTTTTTTTCATAACCCTCAGTCATTGATTACTAACACATGTAAATCAGGGGTGAAATCGTAAATTGATTGCAACATAATTAAAAAAATAAAAATTGAGGATAGGCGGGGCAGCAACAGAAGGACAATTTCGTCAAAAATACTGTTAATGAACAATATTTTTCAGCTAAGTTTTAGTATAGAGTAATGTGCTCAACCAACTAATATGTGAGCTGCATTATGGGAGAAAATAAATAGGTTGGTAGGCCTAATCTCACTCTTACTCCATAGTCAATAGATCATAACAAATTAATGAACAAAAGAATTTAAGTAGGGGTGTCTCTCCACGTCATTAGTAGCCAGCTAGGCAGATGTTACAAAAGTTGAAAAACTCGTGTATTTTGGTTAGACATGGCCTTACATTGGTCTACTAGATGCGTGAGCTGCCTTAATTAGACAACTCTACCAAAATTTCTCTCCTCATAACAAGTTACAAAATCAAGCATAAAGATAAGAAATACAATCAAATATTATAAAAGGAAATGTGAAGTGCCTTTAGCATCATTCAACTTGTTTTTTTATTTGTTTTCACCTGAGGTTGAACTAAATATATGGGACTAAATTAATTATACCATTTATTAAAGTTTCATGTTCATTATATTGCTTAACATATAATTAGGATTTGAAAAAACAGAGAAATGCTATGAAGACTATCTACCACCTCACAGTTTAACGTCACCTCCTGTGCCGACTTATAAAACACCGTGCACAAAATATAAAGTGACAACAAATTCCTTAAGAATCTCATTTTTAAGAAAGTTTCTTTAGCATACGTAGGTGTGAAGTTTTGTCCAAAGTTCAATGCAAAATGTGGAAACCACATAATCTTGTATACTGCAAGTTTGCAGAGCGTGGGAGGGATAACATGAGTATTTTGTGGTGTATCATAATTTGTGTTGTTTGCTTTTTACTTCTTAAATAGTTTGCATAACAATCAACAAGAAGTCACGCGGACTCAAATTCAAACATTCAATTTTTCGAAACATTTTTATTGTCTAGTCGATGAGAGAGAAAGAGGAAGAGTCAAACATTCAAGTTAAACTTACTTAAATGACGAGTTTAATATCTAATTATTATGATTGGATATGAAATGTGAGAGAAGTACTTTCTTAGCACAAATATAGAATAATCGTGTCAATGATTCAACTTCATATAAGAAAAGAATTGCACATGTTGTCAAATTAAGAACACGAGATGCTACAACTTTGTATGCTGCAGTTAAAAATCGCCGTTGCAGACCACGGGAGGATACATCCTTCTTCTCAACTGCTTGCAAACCGGTTCACTACTATCATATGTTGTACAGAATCAAAAGACAATGAATTACTGGAGATAAAAGATACTTCCCGTAGCTTAAAACCCAAAATCTCATTCAGCTATGTATTGTACACTTCGGATTCCGACAAGCACATTGATACAGTGGGAAGACGACGAAAATTTTTTGGAACATTTCTCAATTTATGCGTGTCATCCTTGTACAGGGCCAAGCATTGTTATGTAGCAAACGTATAAAAAGCTTTGAAGAATAGCATGACTGACCGTCTTTATTAGTCAGCAGTGAAGCCCCGGCCCAATCTCCCTCAGACAGACCCAAGTGGGCTTTTTCTTCGTGGGTTGGATTCAATTTATTAAATTTAAAATTATATTATTCATTTTCTTAGAAAAATGCAAAGAGGAAAAAAAAATAAAGATAACAAATTTACCAAAATAAGCATCATTCGTTCTTTTGATGAATGTTGTCAACTTTTTTATATTAAAAAAGGCTCGTGCCATACATGATGAGTAGATTTTATATTATATATTTTACCCTAATCTTAGTATATTTTGGTTAATATATTGGAAGAATTTTGATACTTTGAATTGTATTGTCAATATAGGACTTTCGACTTCCTCTGGAGCAAAACATGACCAAATGGACGAATTTTGGAGTAATTCTAGTTGGAGGACGTTCGTGAGTCACTTAACTTGATCGTATCAAAATTTGGGATTTTTCCACCAAGCGGTTATTTTCTGGCGATGAAATAAAGAAGCAGTGCGCAGTGCGCAGTGTTGGAAAATGACGTTTTTGGGCTTAAATTGCGTTTTTGGAGCCCAAGATGACCTCGGATGGGTTTGTGGCCTTCTGAAAAAGTGTTCAGAATATTCCAAACATTAAATCCAGCTATATTGGGCCAGTTTTGGAGCAGCCTATGGGTCAAAACGTGGTTGTTCAGATTTTAGACGAATTTTATCATTTAATTTAGGGTTATGTTTCCTAGGGTTTGTGGGGTGGCTTGGAAAAATATATTGCTTAGCCGTCTACAGTTTTAGAACACGCTTTCTTTTATGCAATTTTGGGGAGACAGAGAATTGTTAGGGTTTTGAAGACTTT